AAGCATCTGGTACCTGTTTTTAAAATCATTGGTGTTTTAACAAATATGTGCCTAAACAACACATTTATAAAGCAGTAGAATATATATAGTGTAATTGGTACAGCAGCTTATTTGTATTTTTGTCACTACTGCAGATTAGTCATGGTTTCTTTTGGGAATATAATATTGGAGAGAGTGTTTTTTCTGTGTGTTTGATATTTTGGACATGCATGTACCAAAAGGAAGTGTATTTCATCTTCTATTTCATGCGATGAACAATGTCTACAAATCCTATTTTCTAATGGTGACCATGTTTTTGGTTGTGTTTCTTTCTTTTTCAATGGCTAAATTGTGATTACTTGTTCTGAATCTAGTTACAGAAATTCTTTGATATGTATTTAACACATTTAAGGTAGCGAGAGGGGAAACATAATTTATAGTTTAATGGAGTTTAGGACTTTCCTCACCAGTTACTAAGCATGCAGTTATGGCAATGTATATGTTTTCATAAAGCTGAGATATAGCAGAATACGATCATATATGTTTCGTCTTGATATTTGCCCAGGGGATTAAGTTACGATCGTTCCCGTTAACCTCCTAAACATAGTTTTTTTGCGGGATTGGCCGTTTCTCGGTGTTCCTTTTTTCTATGTTTCTGATTTTTTCACTGTTGCTTTATAAGATAATGATCTTTGAGAATGCGTCTCGAAATTTTTATGTGCCCCATAGTTCTGGAGATCTAGCCTGTTGAACTTTATGGACTAAATTTTACGAACGTCTTCTTGTTCCCAAGGCTGTAACTCAACATCAACGGCTCACATAAACGTCCATGAAACATCATATTTTAGCCAATTTTGTGGCGAATAGATTGTGTAATTTATACATCGTTAGCGTAGAGAAAAGTGTTGAAAAATGACATCTTCAATAGTTATAATAGTCAAAAAATAGTTTCTGTAAAAACTCAATAAAACGTTTTTTCGAATTTGGCCTCAGATAAACAGCTAATTAATGACAAAATGTCGACAATTTCGATCATACTTTGTAAATATACAAGAATCTGATATGCGTGGAATGTTAGATCGTGAAAAATTGGTTGGTTGTTTCCTAAA